CAAAAAAAAAATACTTTTGGCCAAAAGAAGCTTGGCCAAACATGCTATAAATTGGCTATGTTAATTACCAAATGTTGTTTTGCAGTAAAAAGGACCAACATACCATGAAAAAGGCATGTCATAATCATCTTATTAATTCTCTGCATTGGAACTCTAACCTTCAGAATTTGCATTGACCTACTGTCCACTCTAGGAGAACATTTGTTCTTCTGAACCAAAGATAACGTTTTGAAATGACTGAAAATTGAGGAGATAGTAATAAATAAAGAAATAAAAAGAAAAAGGAGCAATGATTATAATATTATACCACCATACAAGACATCTAAATAAAATAAAAAGGTTTAGGAAATTAGCCCCCACCCCCATGTGACCTGACTAAACTAGAATCCGAGATCCTATCCACATTTTTGGTGAAAAGACTACATCATTTCCTATTGAAAATTAAAAAAGAACCCAAAAAATAATAAATGGAAAATAATAATATAAGAAAACTCATGTCAGCTGCCAATATTTCAAATAAAAATTAAATATAAGTGGACTTTTCAGGTCGGTAGAAGCTGCATGGATAGTAACATGAGTGCTTTAGTTGGTTCATACCGAGACAGACCCGGATTTGAAGATGGATGTGCAATTTTAGATTCAATCAAAATTTATTTTATATATAAAGTGTCACTTTTAAAATATTATTATTTTCTAAAGATACACACATATCTTTAGAAAATAATAATATTTTAAAAGTAACACTTTATATATAAAACAAATTTTGATTGAATCTAAAATTTCACCTCGATCTTTAAATCTGGGTCCGTCTATATATATATATATATATATATAAGAGAGAGAGTTTTTGGCGAACTTTACGGATAGCGATAATCCCTCTCGATATAGTATAGGTTTGCCTCCGGATTCATATATGATCTATTTAAAACATTTGATAAAGTGGTGAAACTAGAATTTTCGCTAAATAAATGTAAGAGCGCACTCGAGATCCAATGCATATATAAGATCTACCAATACTTAATTTTAGAGGCGGAACCAGGATTTCAGTCTTATGGCTTCTGGATTTTGGGACCACGAATTCAAGTGTTAATGACTGGGTTCTAGATTTAATATTTATACATATTTCTTGAATTAAAAACATCAAATACATGTTTGAACAAAAGCTACTGAATTCGACCAAACTCGTGGATCGGCTTGTGCCTCTGCCCCTGCTTAACTTATATATTGGTTTTTTTTCACGGGATCCTATAGCTAATTTAATTAATCAAATTGCAATAGAAATACTTCGTTTACTCTAACTTTCGTGCACGTAATTAAGTTGGTAACTGATGTTTGTTATGTCAACAAGATATAATATTTTGTAAATAGTCAAGATGCGCTCAAACTAACTAGTTCCAAATACCACTAATATACAGTGGCGAAGCCACATGGTAATAAGGATAGTCAACTGACCACCCTTCGTCGAAAAATTATACTGTGTATATAGGTAAAATATTACATTTTAGAAATATATAACACATATTGAATACCCTTTGTCGGAATTTTTTTTCACTTGTTTTAAATTTAAATACTCTTGGAAAAATTCCTAACTTCGTCACTGCCAATATACATATATGTCTTTTATCCACTTGAATAAGTGTGGTGTGAAATGGTTTTTTTTGAAGTGTTTAGATGAGGATTTTGGACATGGTAGTGAAAGGTAAAGTAGATAGAATTTAGAAGCCATTTTAAATGACGGTGTGAAAATGTAGGTCATGTGAAAGCTACAAAATATCATGTGACTCCATGTGTTTGATCACTTTTATTTTATTTTATTTTATTTATTATTATCTGAAATATCCATGAACTTGCACAGCACATGAGATTCAGATACAAAAAGCTACAGAACTATTTACTTAAGTCTTTCTTCTTCTTTTTGTTTAGCATGGGATTAAATAACTTTTATAATTAAATACCCTTAGGGGTGAACTTTAGTTTTATTGACTTTGGTGAGTAAATATATATGTCCTTGGCTTCTGGGCTTTCTGTTTTGGGATTTAATTCATGAGAAATCTATGTGCCATCCATTAGAAGTACCGGTTAACATTATATACAATTAAAATATTTATTTTACCTTATATACATACTTTATAAATTCATTTCCATATATACTTATTGCATTCCAAAATAAAATATTGTGTATTTTAAATTAGAATATTATGGTATGTTTAATTTGAATACTGGATTCTAAATTAGAGTACTGTAGCATGTTTTGTTTGAATATTGTATTGTAAATTAGAATATTATCGTATAATTGGTTTGAATATCGCTGTAAGCATTTAAATTTTATTGAATTTAAATCTATATAATAATTTGGACCGTATTAAATTCAAGATATTAGTCCAAACAAATATTTTGGCTAGTAAATTGGGCTAATTATTTAAATCCAATACATGTGTTGGGCTAGTCATTTAATTGGACTATAAATTAAATGATAAGCCCACTTCAGTAGCCCAAGGTCCAAATGGCTATTAGCCAATCTTAAAGCTCAAGCTCATGCCACGTGTCAGGTGATAGGCAATCCAAGTCAAAAGAACAAGCCAATAATATCATGCGACGTGTCAAGTGACGTGGCAATCCAAGCCAAATAAGTGAGCCAATGAAATCATGCCATGTGTCAAATAATGTGGCAATCCAAGCCAAATAAATGAGCCAATTAAATCATGCCAAGTGTCTGGATGGTATTGGTCAGTTCAAACAGACCAATCAAATCGTAGAGCCACATCACCCCTTACAATTATAAATATAGGTCTTCATAAAGCTAGAAGACACCAGAATTAAGAACAAGAAGTAAACAGAGAGCTCGTGGATCAAAGGCTGCAGATTTCTCTACAAGCTACAATAGTTCAAGCACTCAAGCCACAAGTTCAAGATCAAGAACGAAGGCAAATCAAATACCAAGGCGTTCAAGATCAAATTACTTGTTCGTGATCAAACCCAAATTCAAGTTCAAGGAGGAGATTCAAGATCAAGCTTTACAAGCCCTTGAATCAAATCAAAATCAAGTTCATTAAGATACTTTACATTCTTGAAGAATCAGAGGAATACCATAGAGATTGTAACACTTTCATTTATTGAAATGAAATACTACATTTGTTACGCAATTTTCCAGTCTTGATTATTTATTTTTCTCGACGCGAAAATTTGTTGTTACAATCGCATTCCGGATATGGAATATTTGGTTTGAATACTGTATTCCAAATTAAAATTTATGATCTACTTAGTTTGGATACTGTATCCAAATTAGAATACTGTAATATATTTTATTTGAATACTTTATTCTAAATTAGAATATTGTATTATGTTTGCTAAAAGAAATACTGTACTTCAAGTTATAAGATTATGACATGTTTAGTTTAAATATTATATTCTTAATTAGAATATTGTGGTATATTCGTTTTGAATTGTATTTCAAATTAGAATGTTATGGTTGTTTTAGAATATATGAGAAGATTTAGAGGTATAGAGTATAATACCTTTAAAATATTTGATGTAATTTTAAAATTTAGATATATCATGAAAATGAGTCTTTAATGACAGATGGGTATACTATGAAACTTTTCCTTAATTCATTAAAGTGAAAATGTTACAAGTACAAATTGAGATCCTTCCTAGAAGGAACATAAAATAAAAATTACTGACAGCCTAATGTTTTTTTTTTTTCTACGAGCACACAGATGCACAAACATCCTGTGAGACATTAAAAAATTTCATAAAAGCACCTCAAACTCTCTTTGTTTAGGTAGTGAGATACTTCCTAGAATATGTTTATTATTTCATGTTTAAGATTCTCTCTCTTAAGGTGCATGTGACTCTCTTTAATTTTCATAGCACATTTTTTCCCCAATATTCTTCAATATAGAGAAAATTATTTTTACTTTATTTCTCTTGAACGAGCAGTGATCGTTAGGTCATAGGAGCATTTGTTGTGATTTACCGGTTACAAGCTGCAGCAACAACAACAAACCCAGCTTAATCTCATATGTGGGATCTAGGAAGGGTAGCGTGTACGAAGCCTTAACCCTACCCTATAAAGGCAGCGAGGCTGTTTTCGATAGACACCCGGCTTAAGAAACATACAAAATAAAGCAACAAGCAATAGTAGCAGTATTGTGATAAGGTAATGGAAACGAGTGACATAGCACATAATAAAGAATCAAGAATAAAAGAATACAAGAATAATACTAGTACTACTGGTAAACCTAGGAGAACTCACAACTACCTATCAACCTATCACCTTAATCCTCGACCTCCACACCTTTCTGTCGTGAGCCTCCACACCTTTCTGTCGTGAGTCATGTCGTCGGTAAGGTGAAGCAATGACATGTCCTGCCTTATCAACTCTCCCTAATACTTTTTTGGCTTATCCTTGCCCTTCCGCAAGCTTGCCATGATCAACCTCTCACACCTCCTGACTGGGGCATCTATGTCTCTCCTCTTCACATGCTCAAACTATTGCAGCCTAGTTCGTTTCCCGCAACTTGTCCTCCACAGAGGCCACTCTCACTTTGTCCCTAATAACTTTATTCCTAATCTTGCCTATAAGCAAGTTATGTATAAAGATATATATAGACCTTTATTATGTCAAAAAACATTTAGATCCAATTTCCATGTTGCAACAAATTAAAAAGTTAATATTCTTTATAAGGAAAAATTGAAATGTTTGTTCTTTATCTGAAAGATCAAAGGTATTTGAATTAACTTTTCCCAAAACATGAAACGATAAGAAAGAAATCATATTTATAATATTACAAAACATTTCTAAATAAAACATGTCTCATGGCGAAATAACACAAGTACGACCTCGTCAAGGCCGTTGCACGAAAATTATAATCGAATATCTTTGTTAACTTGAAATACGTGCATTTAAAACATTTTTTACTAAGATCAATGTTATTGTATGTAAATTAAGTGCAATAACATGATGAACCTTACCGTTCTTCACAAAGGAAGAAGAAATATTAAAAAGAACACAACACCAATAATTAATGAGATACACAACACCTTGTATATTTAAAACTACAGGTTTCCTACACCCCATAAAAGAATTTAAAAGAAAAAAAAAACTACTACATAAAGATAAGGTAAGACTTAGAAAACTTGTTACTACTTCACTTTTCTGTAATTCTATTTACTTTTACTAATAAATTTCTCTTAACAAGCCACTAGTGGCTCTATGTTATGTTAAATCACAGGGCTCAAAGGAAAAAAAAAGAAGAATAATTAAGAAAAATGAAAATTAAGCATGGCTTCTGGACATGCTCTTGAGAAATGTTGAAGTTTTTGTGAGTTCTTTGAGTGGTTTTTCTGTAAACCTAATTAGGTTATAAGTGAAAGCACCAACTATAGTACCCAATATAGGGCCAACTATGTAAACCCAGAGCCCTCTGTACTCATGCATCACAATTGCTGGCCCAATACTCCTTGCTGGGTTCATTGATGCTCCTGATACTGGCCTGCATATATTTTAAAGTTGGGCCTTTAGAATGCCAAAAATAGCCGCTCACTCAACTGTTTAAACTAAAAGTAGCTGGAAAATGTATAATATATGTTTTATCCATGTATAATAGTATGTGTTTGACCATATACAATCATCGTATAATCTATGTGTACCAATTAAGAAAAGTAAACAATAAATTCGGCCGACTATTTTTATAAAAATTCCCAGAAAGAAGAATTAACCTAAATAGCCGTCCAACCCAAAAAGTAGCCGGTAGATGTATAATATATGTATATATGCGTTTTGTCATATATAGTATATGGTCTGTATATATCGGCTATGAACTGTAAATCGTTTTGGCCAAGCGACCAACTATCTAACTTTGCCCTTCTTAATGGAGAATGATTTGCAACAAGCCAAGATGTATTTTTTTCCGCACATTTCGAGAATGTGGGGAAAATAGTGATTCACTATCGGCTTACTCTTATCTTTTTACCCATCTATCCACTTATACCGACTAATTCGGATTCCCGCTAACTGCGTAAGGCACGTAATTGGGAAGTGCTCTCTATCATAAGTTTCTCCAATCTCAAGGCTCGAACCTGAGACCTCTGATTAAGGATGTAGTATCTTACTTATCCTACCATACTCCTCCGTAATTATTGCTTGTTGGCTTACTCTTATATCATGCCTTGGTAGGACTTATACATGATAAATGACCGTTTTGGTAAGGTTAAAAATGGATGATACCTTTAATTATACACAACTGTAGTTGTACTAGAAATACTTTTCTTTCCTCATTATAAGTTGAAAATGTTTATTGGTCAACTTTGCTGCTTTCAAATAAATGGATAATCTATTACTTTCCCTGCTTTACTTTTTCTATTGTGAAAGAAAAAGAAATGTAAAGAAAAATAATTAAGTGAAATTACCCTGCAACCAGAACATTTAGGAGTATTGTCATTCCAATAGCAATTCCTGCAAGCTCTCCAATCTGTTTATAAATGTCAAAAAAGAAAATACATTCTCAACCTTAATTAATTGAAACAAAATATATAAATTTGAAAAAAGAAGTAACTCAAGAATTACTCACTGATCTATTGTCAGTGGCAACACCAGAAATGACAAACATCAAGAGGTAAGAGATGATGAATTCAAGAACCAAAGATTGAACATTTGATCCCACTGGAGTTGTTCCAAAAAATGCCTCAGACTTTAAATCCAGCAGAAGGTACAATGTTCCACTTCCAAGAATTGCCCCAACCAATTGTGCCAATATGTATAATGGCACCTTCAATAGACACAATAAATCAAATTTAATTTCGACAAGAAAATACAGACATTCAAGTACGATAACAATATCTATGCCTTAGTTTCCACTTTATGAATCATCAGTATATATTATGTTCCATTTGACATGTCACCAATACACGTGGTATGAATTATCTATGCCTTAGTCTCGAGTGAGCTGGGATCTGCTATATGAATCATTAGTATACATTATGTTCTATTTGACACCTCATGTTCCAATATCGCGCTATTACGAAATTGTAATCATCTATGCCTTAGTCTCGATTCTGTTGAGGTCTGCTATATGAATGATTAGTATACATTATGTTCCATTTGACACGTCACCTTCCAGTACACGCGGTACGGAATTGTAATTATCTATGCCTTAGTCTCGAGTTAGCTGGTGTCTGCTATATGAATAATCAATATACATTATGTTCCATTAGACACATCACGTTCTAGTACACGCGGTACGAAATTATAATCATCTATGCATTAGTCTCGAGTCAACTAAGTTTTAATATATGAATAATTAGTATACATTATGTTCCATTTGACACAACACATTCCAATACACACAGTAGTAAATTGTAATCATCTATGCCTTAGTCTCCAGTCAACTGGGGTTTGCTATATGAATCATTAATATACATTATATTCCATTTGACACGTCACATTCCAATACACTCGGTGTGAAATTGTAATCATCCATGCCTTAGTCTCGAGTCACCTGGGGTCTGTTATATGAATCATCAGTATACATTATGGTCCATTTGACACGTCAGGTTCCAATACACTAGGCACGAAATTGTAATCATCTATTATATGAAATATTAGTATACATTATGGTCCATTTGACACGTCACAATCCAATACACGTGGTACAAAATTGTAATGCATGATGATTTTATACATTCTCTTAGTAATATTGGGTATAAAAGGAAAGGCAAACATGAATGAATTAACCTGTTTGAAGGGGAAATGCCTAAAGATGGCAAAGGCAATGGTAACTGCAGGATTGAAATGTGCACCGGAAATATGACCAACAGAATAGACCATAACCATAACAATTAAACCCCATGCCACACATATTCCTGGAAATGTTACTGAACCATATGTTTTATTTACTGCTACTGCACCACATCCTACAAATATCAAAAAATACGTGCCGATCGCCTCTGCTATCACCTATAATAAAATCCCAAAAAAAAAAATTAATAAAAAAAATTGTATCCTTACGAATTTCTCTTTTTTTTTTTTTCCAGAATTTAGTACATTTTAAGAGAAATTAACATACCTTTTGAATGATAATGACAACCTCAGGTGAGGTGCAGAGGCTTGAATCTTCTTCATTAGCATGTTGTTTATAACCTGAGCAATTTCCTTCTTCAATTGCTTTTATGTCTTTTTTTGACATTATAATCTATAATTCTTTCGCAAGTTTATTAAGAAGAAAATTACAGTAGGAAAATCAACTTTTATCCAAAAGGTAGTAGTACGGCTAAATGATGTGAATATAGTTAAGGATTAAATCAAGGATTGATGGTTTTGCTGCTTTTCAGAGTTTTGTATGGATAGTTTGTTTTTATTGGTGAAAAAAAAATCTTATACTTCAATTCATCTTGTTTTCATTTACCTATTTCTTTTTAATTTTTTTAAATCTTTTCTTATTATCACACATTTTCCCAAATTGTGTCACATAATTACAGGATCACAAGTTTATCCTTCTAGTAATAATAATTCAAAAGGATGAACTATATTGTAATTCTATCTTAAACATTTATTCTGAACCACATTAAAGCTAAATAAAAAGGACAAATAGATGATCAGGAAAATAAAAAGAAAAGGAAAACAAAGAAGACAATTGGATTTCAAGTTTGCAACTAAACATAAGGTTTCAACTTCCTTATAGGTAATGCACTCAAGCAAATCATTTATCACAAATATTCAAACATTCCAGGATCTACTATAAGCTTGAATATAGATTTGACTAAAAAAGAAGAAAAAGAAAATATGTAAAGTCCCGAAAAAAAGACAGCTCAGTGCACGAAGCATCTCGCGTTCACGCAGGATCCTGGAAACGGCTGCACCCCAAGGGGTGTAATGTAGGCAGCCTACCCTAATGCAAGTATTAGCGGCTAAGCCTACGGCTCGAACCTGTGACCTATAGGTTACACAGAGATAATTTTACTGTTGCTCCAAGGCATCCCTTCATAAAATCCCTAGAAAAAGGCCAGCTCAGTGCATAAAGCACCTCGCATTCACACAGGGTTGGGGAAAGGGCTACACCCCAAGGAGTTGTGATGTAGGTAACCTACACTAATGGAAGCATTAATGGCTGATTCTAATGCTCTAACCCGTAACTACTAAGTCATACAAAAATAACTTTACCGTTGCTCCAAGGCTCCGCTTCATCAACTCCCTAGAAATTCTGTTAGTACTTCATTCCTGTTCTACCTGTGCATTAAAACCATATAAAGGATTCTGTTAGCACGTCATTCCACAATGGCTCAATTTTCTACAATACACTTCTATATCAATTAGATTCTAACTGTAATGACAGATGTCAAAGTTTACAAGCCTTTATACGTGATAAGCAGGTAAAAAGTTAAAAAGCGCAGTCGGGTGCACTAAGCCCGCTATGCGTGGGGTTCGGAGAAGGGCCGGACCACAGAGGTCTATTGTACTATTTTTGCAAGAGACTGTTTTCACGGCTTGAACCCGTAACCTCCCGGTCACATGACAACAACTTTGCCAGTTACGTCCCTTCAAGCAGGTAAAACGTTAAAAGAGAAAATTGAAAGAACACAGAAAATCACATGAACGTATTGATTAAGAATAGGCTAATACTCAAAGATGGAATTTCACGTACCACTGTTGAAGATAATTCGAACTTCTAGGCCATCATTTCCACAGCTTTTTTGCTCTTCTTGAATTTTCATTGCACTAGTGACGGCTGCAGCACTGCACCATTGTATTTTGATGAATCTTAGCGTCATTATTTCTCCAATACTAAAGGGAATTTGTTCCAGGTTTTGGAGCCCAAACAAAAGTAGTTGCTCGAGCATCGGAAAATTATCACTAGCTGCTTCCCACCTTTCCAGATTATATGCGGACTCAATTAGTAGATATTTTAATTTGTGAAACACAACATCTTCATTAAGTCTCCAATCTGTTCCCCAGAATGCATAACATGTTTTGAGCACCTCAAGATTGGGTAAATTAGCCAGCGCAACCATATCTTCCCATGGGAAATAAGTCTGTCTTAATCTCAATTGTTTGAGATTGGGCAAGGAAATATTCCTAGGGAGAATGATGCGGTCAATATTTCGTTCTGCTTTTATGGCCAATGTCTCCAGCTCCTGTAGAAGAATGAGAGAATCAAGAATTGCAGGCCAGTTGGCATGCTTCATATCTACAATCTGTAGCTTTTTTAGATAGGGAGTTCTTCTTAGGATTTCCGCCAAAAAGGAGAGGAAGGGAGAGCAAGTTTTTGCAAGTTATTGAGAAGTAAAGGTTGTTCTATAATGCAAAGACTTTCCGCCTCAAGAGGATTAGGCATATGTATACCTGTACCAATATCTAGATGTCTTAACTCTGACATTGTCCAGATCTCTAGTGGGAGATAAAAGTCTCTCCTTGTAAGATTATGAAGAATTATGGTTTGTAAATTCCACGATTTGTCTAGTGAAGGCGCTACGTTAATTTTTGCAGAAATATATCTCAAATGTACAAGTTTAGGTATTACCCAAGAGAAACTATAATCGACTGAAGATACCTCCAACACTTTAAGCAGCTTGAATTGTGAAGCGAATTGAGGCATTAGATAAACTTGAAAAGAATAGCCTGTAGAAACCAAGTTGTCGGTTGTCCTCGTAATAAACCTCCAATGCCTTGGAACATAGAAATGATTCCAATGATTGCCAAGTGAAAGCATAGCTCGCCGTTGATGTTTTATGCTTTCTGAGGAAATGTGGTCAATATCACTTAGGACATGCACAAAATTCTCAGTTTGAGCTTCTCTTATGCAGAGCTGCCGAAGAAGATCATGAATTTTGCAAGTTTTCATCCTTCCATTAGCCCGTCGTCTACCAGCCAAAATGAGACTTCTATCAATTAGCTCTTCTAGATACTCCTCTGCCACCATATCTAACCTTTTATTGCTTCTTGGCCTTACAAATAGCTCAGCAATCCATAGTTTAATCAACTTTGAAACACCAATCTCCATATCTTCAGGAAAACATCCAACATAGAGAAAACAAGCCTTCAAATGTTGGGGCAAGTAACTGTAGCTCAACGAAAGAATTGATTGACACTGTTCAGATACCGTACCAAAGAATGAGTTCAAATTTTCCTGAACTTTCTTCCAATTGTCACGGGTCGGATCTATCTTTCCAAGAAGTCCAGCAACGACAACAATTGAGAGAGGTAATCCTCGGCATTGCTGTATGATATGCTTCCCAATTTCATCTAGGTGAGGAGGACATATGTCTTCTCTAAGAAGTATTTCTGTAAATAGAATCCAACTCTCATCAAAACTTAGAAAAGACATATTATGATGAGGAAAATCAGAGCTTGCGTAATCAGCCACATAACTGAGGCGAGTAGTTAATAGGATTCGACTTCTATTGTTGTCATTTGGGAATATTCTTTGTATTTGATCCCAAGCCTCAGTACTCCAAAGATCATCTATGACAATTAAAAATCTCCTACCAATCACACCTCTATACACAATCTCCGCTAGTTGATCATTGCTCATTTTCTGATTACTTTCATCAGTCCTATCCTGGCTAATTGAAGAGACAAGTTCAAGAAGCATTTGTCTCTCGTTATAAACTTCAGAGATAGTTACCCATGCATGTTTATCAAATCTATAACGGATTGTTGAATCATCATAAACTTTTCTAGCAAGAGTTGTCTTACCTATACCGCCCATACCAACAACAGGTATGACAGTTAGCTCATCTGTTTGGGCAGTGAGACGATCTAGTATGGTGTTGAAGTCATCCTTCATCCCGACAACAGTATGTTGCTCGGTCGCATACCTTTTCGATGAGGTAGAAGTACTTGCTTCTGCAGATTTGCTTCCATGCTCGATAAACTCAATCTCCATCAATTCTTTCCTTAGAGAATCAACTTCTTTTTCCACTTTTTGCAATTCCTCATTGAAGGATTTACAAGCTTGTTCTCGTTTCTTTTGATCTTCTAGAATGATTATTCTAAGGGTTGAATCAACTCTCTCTTCTGCTTTGTAGACTATATCTCTGATCCTTTTTTCTATAATCTTCAAAGTTTCAATATCTTTGATTTCCTTTGAAGTATCCTCAAGAAAAACTTGAAGAGCAGAAAGACTTTGAAAAGCAGATTCAACAAGTTGTTGTTGTATACAGCTTCTATAAATCAAAGGTGATTTAGACTGCAAGAGTTGCTCCAGTGTATGCATAAGTGAAGACATAGCAGCATAATCCATTTCTCTTTCTCTGAGTGTAGAGGTTCAATAGAATTTTATGTTTCTTTTCACTCTTTTTTCTGTGATCACTTGGCTTTATTAATCAAAAAATATATGAAAGCATGAGCAGTAGAGTGAAGACTTGTGGAAAACTAGACCCAAACAACAATTCAATTATTATTTCAATAATGTCCACATCAATTTCTCATTCAAAGTTAATTATAGCCAAATTTATATTACACCAAGTTTGGTAATACTCAGTTTTATTAGTCACATTCCGTGAGTGATTAACTATTTCAATAAAAGAAAAACTTTCAACTACTATTTCAAGACGGTTGACTTTTCTACTAATAAAGCTCAGCCAACCATCCATTATATATTTCTCATGTAATGTTGTTTTCTTTAATAAAGTTGAAGGACTGCCAACTGGTTTGTTGACAAATGAGCACACAATGCAGTCCACTTTAAACTAATAGTAGTGGGTGAGCGAAGAATTTTACTAAGGAGTTGTTGGGAATAAATCTCCCACGGTAATAATATTCAAGATAATAAAAGCAAAATAATAATGTAGCACTGAGGTATACGGTAATCAATAAAAATAAAATAGTGATAACGACACCAAGATTTTTACATGAAAAACTCTTCTGAATAAGGAAAAAAACCACGACCCTAAGAGGAGCAACTGGTATCACTATAGTAAGGAATTTTATACTTTGTAGGCCCGAGTAAAATAATACTGTTACATCTCGCGTTTTCGTACGTTAAAATTTCGTTTTCAGTTAACCGACTGGACTCGGGGATGAGATTATCTTGAGGTTAACACATTTACGCTATTTATAACAAGCAATAAAGAAGTGTCACGAAGGATAAAGGGTACACGAATTAAAGAAACTAAGTTTCGTTGAAAGCGGCCAATTTGGGATAAAATACGGGTCGAACAATAATACCCGATAATTATAGACTAGTACCATACAAGGTACCATATGACCATGATAGTGGGATATATAAAGTGTATTAAAAATAAGTAGAATTTTAAGTAATTTGAGACAATTTTTAATTACGTGGGTAATTGGTTAATTATCGGGTAGGGGAATATTACCTAATTAATTAATTTAATATTTTAAGATAACCTTGCCCACCCCCACATGGCAGCCCTCCCTACCAAGACAATGACTCTTAAAGTCATTTGATAGGTGGCAACTTAATGTCTTGTATTGAAGACACCTTTTATGGTTTGAAATAACCAAGATAATATTCCATTCAAGAAACTCCATAATCCAAAGGGATATGAACGTTAGCCCTTTTCTGTCATTATCCATGAGACATGGAAATTAATTCCTTGTGAAGGATCAAACAACATTCTGTCTTTGGTTTAAAACCAAAAACAGAAACAATTTCGTTCAAACATTTCAAGAAATCATAGCCAAATTTCGTTCGAAAATTTCAAAGAAGCAAGCACAATTTTGTTCAAGGATTCAGAAAGCAGAAATTCGATTTCTTTTGAGTTCTAAGTTCAATCAACGAAGTTTCTCCAACGGAATATTATACAGAGTTTTCCCTACTCTAGGTATGTTAAGGCCATCCTGATAGATCTTAAATACTCTTGCCTTATGTTTTGATGATCTAACAAACTTATTGATAAGAACCAGATAAGGAACCTGACCTACTTGGATTGCTACAAACTTGAACTGATCCCAGCTAAGGATGAACTGCTACAGATTCAGAAGCTAAGAACCAATCAAGAACCTGGCGCTCCTATGGTTCCTATGTAGCAGTACAGAGTCATTTGGACACAGCTGGAACTGAAGTGACTGACAATACTGTTTCTGCCGCACTGCAATATACTGACAGCCCACTTATTCTCTCACCAAACAAAGCACTCACATCACTTCAAGTGATGTGATCAAGATGTACCAAATGAAGACTTATAGAAAGACATCAATGGAAGGTTTCTGTTTCTCATTCAAGAATTTTGCAAAAAATAGAAAACTCATCATCCTCTCAAGCTTGAGGAACAAGGTTGAATGCCACTACGGACTAGTTCCTAAAAGATTGATTGTTGTTGTCCTAGTTGAGTGGTAACTTTGTTATTGTACTTACTATATCTCCTAAATCGCTTACTTAGAAGCATACTGATTAGGAGTCCTCTTGTAAATCCTCAAACTCGCTGAGTTTAGGTTGTGACTAGATTTAGTCATAAAGAAAAGTCTTTGTAATCGTAGAATTGCAAAGTGGCTTGTGGTGATAGCACCACAAGTTAGAAAAAGCCTTTGTAACTAGGATAGTCACAAAGTGACTTGTGGTAAAGGTACCACAAGTTAGTTGAGTAAATCGTTTGCAATAGGAAGTATTATAAAGTGGCTTGTAATAGGTAAGATTACAAGTTAGTAAAGTTAAAAAGCCTACTGGTGTAGGTCGTGGGTTTCTTGATCCACTTGTGTGGGATTTTTCCACGTAAAATCCTCGGCCTCATTTCCTTACTGCTTTACTAAGTGCTCTCAGAGGAAACTTATAGAAGACCAGGTACTCTACGATTTGGTGGACCCATACAAACTAACAATTGGTATCAGAGGGGTTCCTCCTATTAGGTTAATACCTAGGAAGGATCCTCATGACGGCTCCTCTAAATTTTGAAGAAGGTCAATCCATATACCACCCACCCAAGTTTGATAGAAAATGCTATTGGTGGTGGAAAGCTAGAATGCATGATTTCATCATGGCCGAGGATTGTGAGCTTTGGTATATTATCCGCGATGGTCTGTTTGTTCCAATCAAGGTACTAAATGAATTTCTATTTTCAATAAAAAAAGACCAGCGGAGAATACACTGAGGCAGACAAGAAAGCAATGGAGAGGAATTTTCGTGCCAAGAAAATTCTTGTATATGTTTTAGAACCTAAAGAGTACGACAAAGTATCTACATGCGACACAGCCAAGGAAATATGGGAGGCTTTACAAACAACTTATGAGGGAACTACACTAGTAAAGCAAGATAAATCTAATACTGAGGACAGTTCTACTGTGGCAATTGAAGGCGAGGAGATTGGATATGACTTAACACTTGCTTTGATGGCTCAATCAGACATTGAAGCAGACAATGGCAACGAAGAGGTAAACTTTAGGGATGTTCAAAGAAATCTGAAATCCTATTCTCCAAAAAAACTCATGTGTTTAGCTGTTTTTTATATTACTGTTTTTTGTAGTCTTGCGAGGATAGGGATTCCTTGTTCTTAGAACTAGAAGAATCTGAACATATCAGAAAAGACTTAGTGGATGCAATGACTAATCAAAAGAAGGCCATTGAAATTCTTAGAACAGAAAAGAGTGACCTCTTGGCAGAAACTACTGACCAAAGGGAACTAATAGCAAAGCCCTTGACTGAGTCAAAACCTGAAAGCCTTGAAAGAGGAAAATAGTAAGTGAGGAATATTCTAGGCTTGAAGATGAGGTGAAGGCCTTGAGATGTAGGATGGGTGCTGAAATGGAGAAAAACGAGCTTCTCCAAGCCAATCTAGAAAAAGTAATGAATGATCTTGATCAAAAGGTACAACGGCCCAAGCGACCAGACTTAACATAAATGTAGCCACTGGAGCCATTCTAAAAAGGGAGAAATTAGCACTACTTGGTGAAAAGTCTCTAAAGTGGACCTGGTCCGTAGAGGCTACCACTACCTTGCTCACTAATAACAGTGAAAAGGGGCGGAGCAGGGTTTCCAAGGAGGAAAGATCCTTACAACCCTCACAGTAAGAGCTCCACTGCATCTGACAACTGGCCTCGTACCCAATGTGGGACACTGGGCACTCAAAGGAAGGTGTCCCGGCCAAAAATCAATCAGTACCAAAAGATAAAATGGCTGCTGAAATTGTGATCACAAAAGAGGGACTAGGTTCCACTCATAGAAAACGCACATTACCTGCATGGACTAAGAGAGCTCTTATTCATCCTCTTGGTTACTACAAGGGACCCAAACTTGTTTGGGTTCCTCAAACTAACTCCTATTTTCTTGTGCAGGGAACAGTGAAGGGAAGTGGTCAACAATGGTTCATGGATAGTGGATGTTCAAAACACATGACTGGGAACACCACAAACTTTCTTTCCCTAAAAGCCCTGCAAGGAGGGAGTGTATCCTTTGGCAATGGCAAAAAGGGGTACATTCTTGGAGTTGGTAAAGTTGGGAAGTCACTCACTCACTCTATTAAAAATGTGTACTATGTCAATGGACTTTAGTACAGTCTCCTGAGTATCTCTCAAATTTGCGACAAGGGAAACAGGGTGAAGTTCTTGTCCAAAATATGTACAGTCACTGACCTTGTGACTGGTGAAATAGTCCTGGTGGCCAAAAGATACAAGAACATCTATGTTGCTGATTTCGAATCTTTACAGAGTGGTGATCTGAGTTGTTTGAAGGTGGTTGACGATGATGCTGAACTATGGCACAGAAGACTGGGCCATGCAAGCTTCTCCCTTCTGAACAAACTAATTCAGAAGGACCTGGTCCATGGTTTGCCTATGTCACAATTCAAAACTTAAAAGGTCTGCGATGCCCGTGCTAGAGGAAAACATGTAAAGTCCTCCTTTATGTCAAAAAGAGATGTGAGCACCTCAAAACCACTTGTGCTCCTGCATATGGATCTGTGTGGGCCTATGAGGGTGCAAAGCAGAGGAGGAAAGAGATACATTTTCGTGATCGTGGATGACTATTCCAGATTCACATGGACTTTGTTTCTCAGAACAAAAGATGAAACGGTTGAAGTATTTGTGGCCTTTGTGAAGAAAATCCAGGTGAAGATGGAGTCTAAAGTTGTATGCATTAGATCAGATCATGGGACAGAATTCGACAATGTCAAATTCGATGATTTTTGCAATGAAAATGGCATCTCACAACTTTTCAGCTCCCAGAACTCCACAGCAAAATGGAGTAGTAGAAAGAAAGAATAGAACTCTGGAAGAAATGGCAAGAACAATGCTGATTGACAGTGGACTTGCAAAGAACTTTTGGGCTGAAGTTGTCAACACTGCCTGCTACTTAGTGAACAGGTGCATGATCAGATCAATCCTGAACAAGACCCCATATGAATTGCTGAATGGAAGAAAACCCAAGCTGACTTATCTAAGAACATTTGGATGCAAATGCTATGTTCTCAACAATGGAAAGGATCAGCTTGGTAAGTTCGATGCCAAAAGTGACGAA